TTGAAGTGAGATATTTTCCACTTGGATGTTGAGTGAGGCATTGTTGATTTTAAAATCCAAGCCATATCCTCCACTTTGAGATGATGCAAATTCTCCTTTCTCATGATTGTGGGTAGTAAGTATGTTTTTCACACGGGCAATAACGATGATGTCTTATCTCTTAAAATCAACCAACACACTTGTGTTTTAAAATTTTTAAAGGTGAACTATGTGTACCTTGATCCCCTATTGCATGAAAGGTGGTACGTAGGCACTAAAGATTCACAACCGCGGCGGGTGCAAAAATCATCAAAATATATTTCTTTTCTCACCTCCACCATCTATTTTACATACAACATTTTATAGAAAAAATATACAGATTTTACAAAGAGGTTCCTGCGGAGTACCGTAGATGTTTAGGGTGCTAATAACTTCCCTTTGCATAACCAACCCCCTTACCTTGAATCTTTCCCCCTCTTTTTGGGTTACTCGCTCTTTTCCCATTCCTTTGGAAACAATAAAGTACGGTGGCGATTTTTATTTTTGATCTGTATAAGTCTAGTCAATCCAATGGCTTAGTCTTAAATATTTCTATCGCTACAATCATGGCAGTTGTCTAATCGATTGTGAGGTAAAATCTGCTTAAAAACCGATTATGAATACCTAGTAACTGATTGTTCCTCTAATCTAGTAAAACTTTCCTTATTTGCAAGGGAATAATCGATCATGGATGAGCCTAATCGGTTATCAACTGGATCAGGCCTTTCCAAAGTTTCTAAATTTGTATTAATCTTTTACTATAAAAAGGAGGTGTTATTTTCACTTTAAAACACACAAATTTTCTGAAAAACTCACTCTACTCTCACCTTGTTCCCAGAATTTCATATACACTTAATATAATTTTAGTGCAAAGATAATAACTGCTAAATAATAGAACTTGTATAAATCTCATGTTGGAACTATGTTTTGAATTTTTAAAACCTAGAGAAATTTGTTCTCATGAACTGATATAAGTATAAAGGTTGCAAGAGGAACATGAGATAAAATATTAGTCTAAGATGGTTGAGGAATGATCATGAGTTAAAAGTTTGGTGATGGTGAAAATATCAAGATGATATCCTTGGTGTCTGGATGTAGACCTATTAGTAGTATCTCGAGTATCTAAATAATAATGGATAAGAAAACACCACAAAGTTAACCAGTTTATATACTTCTAATGTTTAACCTTCAAGCTAAAATTACATCGAATGTCCAGACAATGATAATGTTAGGTTTGTCCATTTTTTCAAATTACTCCTATTATCAGTGTCAGTGTGTGTCCAATGTCTATGGCAGTGTTTCTTGGTTTTTAACCCTCGCTGCTTTTTCCAGACCTAGCCCATATGTTATAGACAAAGCACTCAAAAATCACATGTCTTTTGATAATTTTAAATCATATCACATTCACATAAATCTCAATCAAAAGCTTTTCTAATTCTCACATGAAACAAAATATTTTATTTTAGGAACATAAGCATCACATTTACACAACTTTAAAACGTGATGCACAAAAAGCAAGTTTTTGAAGTTCAATCAATGAATACCACAAATGAAACAAATACATTGTGGATTATTCGAATAACAACACATGTAAATAAGACACCTTCAAAAGTTGAATAAACCTTTCATTTGTCATATGTTCAGACCATGAAAAATGCAACATAAGTAAAATAAAACAGAGGTTTTGTCGATGATTATGTAGGAGCATGCACTTTGATAACATTAGGTTAACAAAAATGGGGCAGAAAAATTTCAAGATTATAAAATATGCAACAAATATAATTAGAAATAATTAATGCTTAAACCTTTGATCACTGTGCCATAACTTCCTTCCGCTTTCAACAGCAGAAACTGAGAAAGACCCTGAAACTCAGGAAGCAAGTAAGTCGAAACATGTCGAAGAGAACCATCCACTGTGAACTCTGTGATAGTCTCCAATGTTCCTCCATGTTCATAAGGAAAGTATTTTGAAACTGAACAATTAAATAATGAAAATATTAAATCATAGAACAATATCACTAACCAAGTTGTTGAGCGGCAATAACAGGTGAACTTTCTATTAAATTATATACAGTCTGTAAGTTCACACCAATAGCCTGCATAAGATTAAGAAAATGTGAGAACAACACCAAAAATAAATTTCCTATTTCGGAGCTACAAAGGCCAGAAATATCAAACCTCAAAAAATTTGTCGACATGAGAAGGTAAGCAACCACCACCACTTATTGCATCATGTATAGAAGAACCTAAAACAATAATAAATGTTACTATATAGAAGTGACATTCATACATTTTATAGAAAATAGGGTTACCTGTACAACGTTTCAAAAACTAAAGGAATATAAATCATCAAATGTGGCTGATAATGTCCCAAATCATCCTAGAACAAAAACAAAACACATCACATTAAGGTAAAAACAAAAACACTAGTCAAGAAATACATAAGGTCAATGGAGAAGTGTTGGATCCGCAAACCCTAAGCCATGGAAGTATTGGATCTGGAAAAAAAGGATGCAAATGAATAACATAATATATTAGAAGCAACTTGGAGTGAAGGTGTAAAACATCACCTTCAAATTGCATAAGCAGTGACCGACCACCATATGTTCCTTACGAATCCGACATTGCTGGCAGAATACCCTTTCGTCCTCCTCTCCCTTATTCGCACCATTGTAGCCTTTCATTTCGATTAATGTTTTGATTGTTTTGATTCTAAAATAGAGAAAAGAAATAGATAAAAGAAAGAAGCGGAAGAGGAAGAGGAGAAGAAAGAATTGGAGGAAGAGACAAATTATTCATGTAGTGAGCGAAGAGGGAAAAGTCAGAGAAAAGATGGAAGAAAGAGACGAAAGCAAGAGAGAAAAATGTCACATAGAGAAAGAAAACAAATACGTCATAGAGAAAAAGAGAAAGAAAAAAGGACGAGAAAGTGTTGGATAGAAGAGTCGTTCGGTTGATTTTCAAACAGGTTGCTAAGTACATATAACTCAAGAGAGAAAGGAGCAAAACAACTGGTTTAATAGCTAAATATCAATTGATTAGTTGAAAGAGGGATAGGTAAAGACGTGATTTGTTATAATAGGGCTATCGTAAATAATCAATTCCCAATATTGAAAAGGTCTTTTCTAAAACTATTCATATTCTTATATGATAGATAATAATACACATCCGAATCAATTATCATATTGTTTGTAAAAAATTACTGCTATTCAACTTGTTCAAATTGCTTTAGATACATGTTAAGTCGCTAAATTTTTTCCCCAGTTAGTTTATAGTTGACTTTCCCTAATTAAATTAATCAATCATTATGTTAATATAGTCGTTGTGATTTTTATAGAGTTAGTTATTGTTTCCTTGGTTATAGAATTACATCCCTTCTATTTTTATTCACTTTGTACATTCTATATCCCTGATATTTATTTTCATATTTTCAGAAAAAATTATGAATGGAAATTTTCTTATTAGTTCATTAAATTCTGATTTCTTTTTTATTTTCGAAAAACTAACATCATTCTGTGTTTGATTGAATTTCAGTACTATAATGAAGTGTGAAATTGTGAAAAACATAATGATACAAATTGGGGTGTCTACCACTAACCATGCAAGATGAATTGAAATATCCTTCCTTTGCTAGCTGTTACTTTTTCTATGAAATTAAAAAAAAAATGGCCAAGTTGTAAAAAAAAAGAGTGAATAGCCACCACCACTAACGAGAAGTTGTAGTGTACCAAAATGGGACCCTTTTCATTATGTGCCTCATTCCCACCCATGTACGTGCACAAAACAGAATGTGCCTGCTTGCGTACGTTCAAACTCAAACCAACGATCGACTCTTGGAATCACTCTATGCCTCATTTCTGGTTGGACCGCGTGTGCTACACTCTCCTTTTAAATTTCCTAACAAAATTTTACAAAACTACCCCCTTCAATATTTAACTATGAATACGACAAAATAAGAAAACTTTGTCACACACAGTGAATATGAATAATATTGATGATTGAAATGGACCCCGAAACAACACCTGATATGAAAAAAAGCATTATGAAAGGAGGAACTACCTAATCATTCTCATACTGTAATATTCACCACCACCATCATCATCATCATCACCATCATATATTGATAGATTGATCCATAATTTCATATCCCACGGCCACGGTTAAATCTAACCCCCACGTGCGGTTACTCTAACTAACCATGGTTAATCTCTTTAATTAACTCAAACCCTCCATAAAATTAAATATATAAAAAAAATTCAATTCTGAGAAAGAGAGGGAGAAACAGAAACCAAAACAGTAGAAAACGATAATCCCCCGACACTGCAAAAAGCTAAACCCACTCTCTCCGGATCAACACAGCAACTAACCATAACAACATTTTCTCTCTCTCTCTATCTCTAAAAAGGTAAGAAAACTTTGTGTAATGTCTGTGAATAACATTGTCTGGCATATATAAGGAAAAACCTAATGGCATGCTGTTTTTTTTATTTATTTTAATTTTTACCTCATAAATGCGTTTTCTCTTATTTGACGACTCACGTTTCACAGTTTTGTCACCCTCTGCCATATTTGTCTCTTGAACTTCCTTTTTTTTCATTAACACCTATTCGCCGCTCCTATTTCTTCTTTCTTGTTCCCTTCACAACCAAACTAGAAATACACCGGCACGATTCTCGATGAAAATGCATTGAGGCATGAGCAATGAAATTTTTTCTTGATAGAGATTTATCAACAAACAAACCGTGAGTAGGTTGGTTGACTAACCTATTATCAACGCTTCGTTTTTCCCTTTTTAGTCTCGTGATATCATCTTTATTAAAATCGACGGCTATTATTCGTTTCTCACTATCACCTTGATGTGATGTGTTATATATGTATGATATAACTTTTCTTTTCTATTCCGCAGATTTTTCTATTTTCTCTCTTCTTCTTCGTTTCTCTCTTCGTTCCATGCTACTCTAAGCTCTACACTCTGCGTTTTCATGGAACCGAAACGCGTTATCGTCACCGCCACCGTCACCGTCGCTGTCACCGTTTTCTTACTCTTCTCCATCGGAGTTCTTGCTACTCTTACCGGTACGTTCATCTTTTTGAAATCAATTACAGTTTGTTTATAGATTCATCAATTCATAGATTCGATGCTATATTATGGATTTTGTTTTGGAAAATTTTGTTCATCATTAGAAATTGTTGTTATTTCTACGTAGTGGTTTTTGTTATGTGTAAGTTTGTAACCGTTTTTGAACGTTTGTTTTTGTCGTTTTGTGTATGGTTACAGGTTTTTGGGGTGGGGCTCGCTCTGGAACGTTGGTGTCGTTTTCATTCTTGTTTGGATTTGAGGAAGCAACTAATTTCACACTCGTTCGTACTCCTCATCGTAAACTTCTTCCGAATCATGGTAACTTTTCTTTCATTTTCATTCTAATTGTGCTTTTTCTGTTCATTGATTTTGGTTGAATGATTAGTTTGTGTTCTTGTTTGATGTATGTTTTTCTAGAAATTTGTCTTTTCTTGAACTTTTGTAACCTTTTGAGATTTGTAAACTTTCTGGCTATTGATTTTGTTGAAATCGTTTTTCTGTGTTTCTTACAAGTATTTTTGGTTGTGTTGGTTTGATGAAGTTCTGAGTTTTTTATGCAGCAACTGAGGCTGAGAGGGTGGAACCAAACAGAATATGGGGTGAGAAATGCACGAAATCAGACATTGTGATAAACCAAGGCTCAACAGCACCACTCCCGAGTGGAATACCAACATACACAGTAGAAATCATGAACATGTGTGTAAGTGGATGTGACATTTCTGCTATACATCTTCGATGTGGCTGGTTCAGCTCAGCACGTCTCATCAATCCAAAGCTCTTCAAACGCCTCCGTTACAATGACTGCCTTGTCAATGATGGCAGACCATTAGTCAATGGTGCCACTGTTTCTTTTCAGTATGCTAATACCTATCTCTATCCTCTCTCTGTTTCATCTGTAGTATGCGTTTGAAGAGTCTTCTATGGAGATATACTAGTACTACTATTAGTCATTCTTTTGGATTTGTATATACACATATTATAGGTGGTGTTTTGATTTTGTTGCTCGTCACTTTCATGTGATGACACGAGAGGAATATTATGCTTACAATATTTTTTTTGATAGATAGGAAACATGTGGGGACTCATGAGAAGAGGATATAAAGTTTCCCTTTTTTGCTTTATATTTGTTTTTTCTTTTAAGACTTGATGAGATGATATATGCTTCTACTACCTATTTTCTCTTATGTCTACATTCATAAATATAGAACTGTACAAGCATTGAGTATTAGCACGGGGTGAAAAGTTCATTGCAGCTAGCTACCATTCAAGAAAATAAATGAGACTTATGAAAGGTCTTTTTCTTTAATTCCTCTTTGAAAATTAGGTGATTGTGTCTATAGGGGAATGGAGAAGGGGAGGGATATATGAAATGAATATAGAGTTTGTACTGGTCACCTCAAGGGCCCGTGTCTAGACAATTATGTCAACCACCTAAATTAACTCTCTTTTCTTTGCTTGAAACATTAAATTCATTCACCATCTTGCCAAAGGATAGGTGGTACTAGTACGTTGTATTTTAAGTACTTTTATCTTTAATTTAATTAATGTAATTATATATTTGAAGTATATTTTTTTAAAGTTTTTTTTTATTTATTTTAAGTTGAAAATTTGGGGTCTATATGAGAGAACACTTTTTACATTAGGATCTTTCTTTATGAGTAAATTCTCTAAGACACATCAAATTTTTACAATAAAAACTTTAAAATTGTAGGTTTTTTTATCGATAAATATTCAAGTCTCTAATTTTTTTAATCAATGTAATGTAGGACTTTCACACTTTGTTTTTCTCAACAATCCAAAATCTTGACTCATGTCTGATCTCTGGCATCGGCACTCTTAATATTTTCTTTAAAATGGTTTTCACTTATAATCTCTCATTAGATGTATGATTGTTTTTTTTTAACTTGTTAAGATGTTGAAAAACCCTCTTCAAAGATTGTTTTGTTTCTCCATTTTCACCAATACCAACGGGAGATTATAAATATAGACTTCCAAATTTGTTTGTGAAAATCTGTAATATTTTCTCTAAGATTATAAGAGATCTAATACCTGTAATAAAAAGAATAAAATATGAGTCATTTTGTTTGAAGGGATAAGTTGAATCGATATTGTGTTGCAAAAGGAAAATCCTGCAACACATGAATCAAAATTTCTCAAAAATTGCACTTAACAAGGATGAATGGGTTCAAAAATAAGTCATATAACATAAGTCAAGTGAATGTTTGAATCAGATGAAGATCTTTCCACTTTCTAATGATATTATGGTCTATATCAATGTTTTAAAAATCGGTTTGAATGGTTCAATTCAATCGATTGGAGCAGGAATTAAAGGTGACTCTGGTCCGGTCAGCTTTATAAAACTGCAAATGGGTCAAAATCAGAGTAAAACCGGAAAAATCCGGTTGAATCGCTCGAAACTATTTAAACCAATGAATTGAAACCAATTTTGTAAAATCATCCGATTCAAAAAAATATTTGTCATTGATCAATTTTAATAATTATTTTAATAAAAAATTAAAAATTATTATTATGTTAACATCTATAATTAAAACATTTTACTTTCACAAGAAATCAACACAAATTTCTAAGTTATAACACTGTGCTATAGTTTTGTTTCTTTAAACATATCATTATATTGTGTAATTATATTTATCATTGGTCTCATAATATTATATTTATAATGAATTTTTAAAATATTTATTTTAAAAATTTGTGAACTTATGATTATGTGAATTATCTATAAAATTTAGCTTTGTATTGTTAACTTATTTAATAAACGATTCGACCGTAGGTTTAACTGGTTAAATCAAATGAACCTTGAACCGAAAGTCTTGCCGGTTCGATATCTGGTCCGATTTTTAAAACATTGGTCTATACTAGTATTAATAACAATCAAATATAAATAAATATGTGTATATGTATTGCTAACAGAAGAATTAACATCCCTAATATCCCCTCGCCCAAGTTGTCTACGCCATCTCCAAACATCCTCTCCTGATCGAAAACATTTTTAACAGTGATGATAGTTGTTTTGCCTCGTCCCCAAGGCCTAAGATGGAGAGGTCAAAAGGAGGAAATGACAAAAGCAAACGTGAGAAACAGGTACACCATTGTTACCACTAATTAGGTGGTTGTGCATGTTGTGTTCATCACAAGCGGTTTTAATCGCTCCCAATAAATAAGGTAAAAGATGTGTCATTCTCACGTATTTAAATCTATTGTCACTCTTATATCACTTTTCATCCTCTCTGATTTAGACGTCAGAGTTCTAACCTTGCAGGTCATCCCTTACTCCTCCCACTGGAAGCTTGAGTCCACCACATTGAAGCATTAATACATCTCTCATTGAACAACTATGGTTCCACCAACGAAATAATGGTATCATCTACGAGAATCGAAATATGATTTATGTGTATTTCCATTATTCAAACCTCCTATGATCCAAAGATCCATATCTCTTCTCTTAGAAAGTTTTGATCCATGTTTCTTAGTCTTCATTCTTGAAGCTTCGTGATCTTCTTTAAACATCCAAAAGATTCATCCTTCGATTCATCAAATGTGGTGGCATCCAAAACCACTCGACTTTCGTTCAACGACAAGTCGTTGTTGTAGTTACTAAAGCTCCACCTCTTCCTAAAATAAAGAACGGTCTAACCCTAGTAGCATCTCCTTACAATCCTTCACAGCAAAATCCCGCTCCACCGAGAGTTAACCAATGAGCATTCAAAGCTTTTTCGTTCTTCGAGCCTACACAATAGTTCCACCAAGGCGAACCATGACATCAACCTTCCCTACTTCTTGCATTAACCGAATATGAAATTCTCTCTGGCCTTCAAATGTTACATGCCAACCTTGGGATATATGGAACTACTTATCTACTGAACAATGTTTATAATATGGTACAAAAGCATAATTCATAATTCTTGGCAGAAAGGCTCTACAAAATTGAAGAGAGACAGCAACATGTCACACCAAGAAACAACACCAGGCAAGAGGTGACCTCCCAAGTAAATTAATCCATTGTTTCTAAATCAACCTTAGTTAAGGTGAAAGTACCATAAGGAGGGACCCCAAGGTCGTTTTCTCGCAGTCGTTACCAAAGACATAAGATTCCTGCCCTCGATCTTGGATGGAAGAATGATAACTACACTCCTCCGAAGGTTTGTTATCTTGGAAAAAAGGAGAGGTATGACAAAGATATGTCGGTTCTAGAGTGAAAAAGGAACCCTCTGTCTGTTTTCATCCTTGATAGTAGGATTTTGAGGTCATTAGAAAAACCTTTGAATCTATAGAGCTACTATGGGACCAGAGACCCGGATGAACACGTTGAGTATGTAGATAACTGACTAGACTATTACCATACACAGAGGATGGAAAAGTGGATACTCTTTGCATTAATCTTAACTGAATCCGAAATGACATGGTTCAAGACCCTCTATATGGGTGCATATATTCTTGGAAAGACCTATGTGAATCTTTCACCGTCCAATTCATCTCCCCGAAAGCAATAACACACACATAAGTTCTTAGAAAGACCTATTTGAATCTAAGTTCAATGCTTACACCCCTCTGAATATATTTAGTGTGAGAATTTGGAAGGAACAAGCAACACAAATTCCAAAGAAGGGGGAATAAGGAATCCCTACCCGATTAAAGAATCACTAAGGACATATAGATTCAAATATTTTCACTTTCATAAATGACACTGCCACAACATGAACGATTGCTTTCAACTAAAGGATGTAAACGAATAATTGATCAAAAAAGACAGTCTATCAGAATACATCTAAGAAGACATCAAAGGAGATAATTGAGAAAAGGGAAGGAATCCGAGATTCGTGGGGATTTATTGAGGCAGAAACGGTCCCCTCGAAAGGAGAAGCCATCCCCAAGAAAGTCATAGAAGTCATGGCCGGAGGCCGGGAAAAGAAAAGCAGTAACACCATCAAAGAAGAAGAAAACCAAAGGGGGTGGGGGAAACGACAATACATTGTCTCTACCACAAGCGGTATCTAAAGCCCAAACAATCCCTTCAAAGACACATTTAAGAGACATATTTCTGAATTGATGGTCATTAGTAAAGAAGAAAGATAAATGTTGGTCATGAAGTCCAAAAGATTTATCTTGAGGTTCTTGGACAATGAGAAAGTGAGACAAATCCCAAATGACATATTCCACCTAGTGATAATGGTCACTGTGACCAATTGAGACGTTTCTATAGTCTTGATCGACATCGACAGCTTCTGTGATATCATGTACGTCGAGCTCTTTGAAAAAATTTGGCAGAAGAAAGAAAAGTTTTGGACTTACCAAGGGTCCGATTTACAAACCTTCCACAGAATGATGACTCGCCCGTGGGGGTTCATTGAGTTAATTGTTACCTTAGGAGAATGGAGAAACACAAGGATCATCAACCTTTAATTCTTAGTAGTACCATGTCGAAGCATTTATAACTGCATCTTAGAAAGGAGTTTAGATCCTATCCATTTCTTTAAAGAAATGGAGAGTGTCATTACCAAAGCTTTGGAGTATAATATATTTATATTATTTAAAAGTGTGACATATGTTTTTTATGCTTTGAGATTTATATAATGTAAATATTGGTAATGGTACTCTCCATTTCTTTGAATAAATGGAGAGGATCTCAACAACTTAGAAAGACCTTACAAACGATAGAAAATAAATTAGATAAAATTAGACAATTGCAATCGATAGAAAAGAAATTAGATGAAATTAGACAAATCCATAGCTAGCCATATCTCACCCACACTTAGTACAAATAGGGAAAACTCCGACTCTCTACTTTCTTCTTTAGATTCAACTAGATAAAAGTTGAATACATTGAAAATCTTATCAATTCTAAATTATCTTTTAGTGAGTGTTTGTTTTCACGGTGAGAGAGTAAAAAAG